GAGTGTGGTCCTGGGCAGCCACAGGAGATCCCCAGAAAGTTTCACAGAAACACACAATTCAGGCCCCACCACACACCTACCCAATCAGAACCTGCGTATTCCCAAGATCCAGGGATTCCCGTGCCCATTCAGGTTTGCGAAGCATCCGTCCTCCTGCTCAGAGGTGGCCCTACAATCCTCCCAGCTGTTAGCCAGCAGATGAAATCTGTCTTAAGAAACAGCAAACTATGGAAAAGGCCACATATTTATGATTCCAGCTATATGACATTCAGGAAAAAGCAAAACTATGAAGATAATGAAAAGATCAGTGACTGCCAGGGGTTGGGGGTTGGGGAAGGGAGGGACGAATCGGTGAAGCACTGGGGAATTTTAGAGCAGTGAAATTATTCTGTATGTTGCTATAATGGTAGATGCCTGTCATGATACATTTGCCCAAACCCACAGAATGTACAACACCAGGAGTGAGCCCTAATGTAAACTATAAACTTTAATTAATAACAACATATCGCGGTTGCTCATGTCTGTAATCCCAGGACTTTGGGAGGCCGAGGCAGGTGGATCACCTGAGGTCAGGAGATCGAGACTATCCTGGCTAACATGGTGAAACTCCGTCTCTACTAAAAATACAAAAATTAGCCAGGTGTGGTGGCATGTGCCTGTAGTACCAGTTACTCGGGAGGCTGAGGCAGGAGAATCGCTTGAACCCGGGAGGCAGAGGTTGCAGTGAGCCGAGATCGCCACTGCACTCCAGCCTGGGCGACAGAGCGAGACTCCATCTCAAAAAAAAAAAAGAAGTATCAATATTATCTCATCAACTGTAACAAACATACCACACTAATGCAAGATGTTTGCAACAGGGGAAGGTCATAGAGGGGGGTGAGGAGACACAACGGAAATCTCCACACTTTCTGCTCATTTTTTTGTAAATTTAAAGCCATTCTGAAAAAGTCTGTTAATGAAGCAACATTACCATTAACATTCCCATTAATGAAACAACAATATTTTTGTTACAAATGGTTGGGGTAGCAGATATTCTTAAGCACTTTGGGGTACATAAAGCGATCCCTGAGTTGCTATTGTATGGTTTGCTCTTGCCCAATTTCACATTTCACTGATGCAACCATCCTGCTTTATGGCTGGGCATGATCCAAACTGGTAGAGAAGGAGGCTCCGAGCGTCAGGAGACTCAAGTGGAATGAGGGCTGGGAGTGGTTAGAGATGCCAGGATCCCTGTGAACTGGTGCACCCCCCCCAGGATTAGTGTGCATCTTCTGGCGCGATCCACCATGGGTCAGCCCTGGGTTTACGTGGCTCGGGTTTAAGGAACAAAGTAGAAAGTGACGGAACCTAAGTTGTAATGTAAGAATGAGGGAAAAACACAGATGCAAATATTTTGTGCTCTAGGAAACCTATTAGGAAATTACTAAATCCTGGAACAATGTAAAATATGGCACACATTCTAAAGAACAAGTGTCTATAATGATACATACATCGTACACTTTTTGTTTAAATATGAATTTAATTAAACAGAAAATTGTAAGTGGCTGTGTGAATGATGGGAAGAGGCTTCACGTTACAGAATTCACCTCCAGCAACAATAGCATATTAGACACCAGTGGAACAACTTGACCCAGTGAGCGAATTCGTGATTTCTGTTTACATCACAGCAGGATGTGTCTAGAAATCCCAGGTTAGGAAGCGGGTGGGAATAATTTTGGCTGTGAACAGACTCTTCTCAGCACCAAGTCCTTGACAACACAACCACGTGCAAATACACAGATAGACACATGACTTGAGGTTGGTAAAAACGCTAAACGTGTATACAAAGAATGGACTGTCTTTGAGACCGATCGTCGATTCAATCTCCCCATAAACCTGGTCACAAATCCTGTTCTGAAATAATTTGAATGAAGACAGCAGGTGACGGGTTTAGAGGCATTTGGCGCACAGGCAGCTGGGAATAAGGATTGCCACACACTCTCTGCAGGCTGTGTATTCTCTCCTGTGTGGCCTCAGATTTTCCCTGGCAAGACTGTGTGCTGCTAGCCAGTGGCCATTAGTTTACCGGGGATGTTAGGTTTTCTTTTCGCCTGGGGTCTCAGACCCTGTCTTCTTCACTGTCATAGAGTTTGCTTGAACTTTGCTTTTCCCAGTGCTCGGCTTCTTCTGTTTCTGGCTATTGTTTTGAAGGGATTTCAGTCCCAGCATTTTGCAATACTTGTTACACTGGTGTAGTGCTTTAAACTGATCAATGAAGGTCATGGAACAGTTGCCTTTAAATCCTTTGTACCTGTGAGTTTGGGTGGAAGGAAACAGCTTTTAAAAACAGGACACT